TACATACATACATACATACACACATAAATAAATATTAAAAAAAAATGAAAGGTGAACCGCAATGAGATTTTACCACATACCCTTCAGAATAGTTACTACTGACAATGCTGGGAAGAACATGGAGCAAAGGAAACTCTCACACTGTTGACTCTTATAGGTATTAGCATAAAATGGCATAGTCACTTTGGAAGAATGTCTGGAAATCTTTTTTTCTTTCTTAAATTTATTTTACTTACTTAATGTGTTGAGTGTTTTGCCTCCATATATGTATGTGTACCATGTGTGTGCCTGGTGTCTGTGGAGGTCAGAAGGAATCTGACCCCTTGGGACTGGAATGAATGGTCCACCAGAAGAGAAGTCTAACTGCTGAGCCAATTCTCTAACCTTGGAAGTTCCTTTTAAAATAAAACACACATCTATCATTTGCTTGTTTGGTTTGTTTGCTTTTTTGAGGAAAGGTCTTTAGCCTGGGTTGGCCTAGAACTCACAGAAAGCCACCTGCCTCTGCTTTTGAGTACCAGGATTACTGTTGAAATTAAAGGCATACATCACCATTCCCTGCCACATGTATTAATTCCACTCCACCAAGTTCTCACAAGTAAAATGAAAATGCATGACCAAAAAAAGATGTACATAATAGTCATGACAACTAACTCCAAACTGAAAATTGCTCAGGTAGCCACCATCAGGTGACCACATTATGATTTAAAGATTTCTTTATTTATTGTGTATACACACACTAGAAGAGGGCACCAGATCTCACTACAGATGGCTGTGAGCTGCCATGTGGGTGCTGGGGATTGAACTCAGGACCTCTGAAAGAGCAGCTAGTATGCTCTTAACCTGAGTCATCTCTCTAGCCCCTGGGGAATATGATTTTATGATGTGTTACTCTTGTTTAGCCTGTGGAAGATCTCTGTAAAGGTGCAAAAATGTGTTTGATCATATAAAATTCACCTGCGGTCAGGTGGCTGAGTCAGCAACTAGCAGACAGGAAGCGGCAGGGAGAAGCCGGGTAGAGAAGGAATTTTAAGGAGGGACAAGGAGAAGCATAAGGGCTTTTTGAAGCAAGAAAAGGAGAGAGGACACTAGGGGCCAGCCACACAACCAGTTATGGAGTAAGAGTGGAAGTAAGATATACAGAAGTAAGAAAAGGAAAAAGCCCAGAGGCAAAAGTAGATGGGATAATTTAAGAAAAGCTGGTCATAAATAAGCAAAGCGAAGGTTGGGCATTCATAACTAAGAATAAGCCTCCATATGTGATTTATTTGGGAACTGGGTGGTGGGTCCCCCCCAAAAGTCAAAAGAGTAAAGGAGTAAAACATCACACAACAGTTAAGAGCACGGCTTGCTTTCCCAGAGGATTTGAATTTGGTTCCTGCACCCACATGGTGGTTTACAATCACTTGCAACTCCAGGCCCAGAGGATTCTCCAGTCCAGTTCTAGGCCAGTAGAGGATACATTGACCTCTTCAGGCCCCTGTGGGGTAGCAGGCATATGGGGTACAGGCTTACATATAGGTAAAACACACATAAAACAATTTTTAAAAACACACAAATAAATAAATTGACATGCGTTTTGACAGGGCTTAGATAAATTTAAGAACTAAAGAGCTCCAAGTGATTTTACTGGTATTATCTCCTTTATCTTAGTGTGTGTGTGTGTGTGTGTGTGTGTGTGTGTGTGTGTGTGTGTGATGTATACAAACATGTGTGCATGCTGTGTATGTGTATGTAGGCCAGGTCAGTGATGGTTGTCTTCCTCTAGTACTCTTTGGAGTTCACTGGCTGGCTAGGCTGGCTGGTCAGCAAACCCCCTAGGATCTTCCTGTCTCTAAGCATTGGGATTCCTGATGCATGCCAAATCTGCCCTTTTACACGTGTGCTGGGATCTGCACTTAGGTCTTCATGCTTGCACAACAAAAACTTTACCCACAGAGCCATCTTCCCGGCTTTCCTGATGTGGTTCTAAAAGACACAAACAGGCTGTATTTTCATTTTATAGACAGAAAACATGACAGAAAAATTATGTAAACATTTTAGCTAAGGGAAACTGACAGCACCCACACACTTTTAAGAAATTACTGTGCCAATTTTATAACCATTTTCTTATTTAACCCTCATAATTGTTATCCTGTTCAAGAGGAAACTGAGATTTATAAGACAAATAGTTTGGTCAAAGTGCCAGAGCCCATTTGCTTAGCTCTGTTTTCTAGGTCTTAAAACCTAGTGTGCTTAGGTGATAATTTTGCATTTTTTTTTTTCTGCCAAGACACAAAGGACAGATGCCCCACAACCTGGAAATAAGCAAAGCTGCGTGCAATCCCCGCCAGCTACTTGTCATTCTCCTGCCTGCTTTTCTCGAGAACACTGCAATGCAAGTCAAGCTTTGCCCTCATAGAATAACCTTCAGTCTCTTTTCATTTGCATCTTACAAAAAGATGGACATTTTCAAATGTGGTATTTCAAGTAGGAACAAATCCCTTTTCAGCAGTAAGACTGAGAATTTTTATCCTAGCCTCAGCCACCTGAGCCTTGTACAGCATGTCATGGCCAAGTATGAGGATCATCTGACTGGAATGAAGGGTGTGGCACATGCCCCCCACCCCAAATACTATGCAGTTTTGACTTTTGCGAAGCTGAAAGTACTGGGTTTCATCATCGCATTCTTGTATGTGCTATCCTCATACTTTGTTCTCAGTCATTCCGTCCTCCAGCTGGCTCCCTTTCTGCTTCCCTTTTACATGTAATCCATTACCATCTCATATCTCCCGTAAGATCACTTTCTTCCTCTCATAATCCCTGTCCTAGATTCCTCATCTGCAAATATACATACAGATAGCCTGCTACAATTTTAGCAGTTTCACATTCCTCTTTACACTTGGTTCTGAGGATTTCTTTCAAACCTGACAGTTAACAAATGTTTCCAGCATTTGGGGCTAGAGAGAGAGAGATGGCTCAGTGGTTAACAGCACTTCTTGCTTTTGCAAAAGACCCAGGCTCATGGCAGGTGGTGGTGTGTATGCCTTTAGTCCCAGCACTTGGGAGGCAGAGGCAGGCAGATCCTGAGTTCGAGGCCAGCGTAGTCCACAGAATGAGTTTCCAGGACTTAAAAAAAAAAAAAGACCCAAGCTCGATTCCCATCACTCACATGATGGCTTATAAATGGCTTAAAATGTCTGCAACTCCAGTTTCAGGGAGATATGATGCCCTCTTCTGATTTCTAAGGGCAATAAGTATTTATATGGCGCACAGACATACATGCACGCAAAACACTCACACATATAAAATAAATCTTTAAAAATGTTTGCAGTGGGCTGGAGAGATGGCTCAGTCGTTAAAGGGTAGGCTCACAACCAAAAATATGAGTTCGGTTCCCAGCACCCACGGCTGTCTCTCCAGTCACCAAAAAAAAAAAAAAGTTTGCTTTGCAGCATATGACTGAACCAAGAGTTTTAAAGAAAGTCAAGGTGACTGACTGGGTTCTAACAGATGTCTTGGTAAATGATAAAGGTAGCATAACCCTTTGCTTATATAATAATCACCTTCATCCTTCATCCTTCCTTCTTTCCCTATACCCACAACCCCTGTTCTACAGAAATTTTATGCTTTTGCTCTTTTCTCCAGTTTCTAGCTGCAACAGTAATGCCATGGGCATCTATTCTAGAAGTGATTTATAATGAATGGGCTTAGCATTTCTGCCCTCCTTGGCCTGAGGTTGTGTGTGTGTGCATGTGTGTGTGTTTGCGCGCGTGAGAGAGAGATGAATTAAGGCTTTTTGTCCCTTTGTGATTTTTTAAAAAATGTATTTATTTTTATTTTATGTGAATTAGTGGTTTGCCATGGGTGTCAATTTAACTGGAAATTTAATTACAGACAGTTATGAGCTGACATGTGGGTGCTGGGAATTGAACCCATGCCCTCTAGAAAAGCAGTCAGTACACTTAAACACTGAGTCATCTCTCCAGTTCTACTTTGTGATTTTTATGAAACTGGTTTATTCAATTTTTTTATAACCTAAACTAATTTGGAACTTACTATGTAGCCCAAGAAGGCCTTAAATTTACAGTGATCTTTCTTCCTCAGCTTCCCAAGAGCTGGGATTCTACATGAGAGCTACCACAACTGTCTCAGTTATGACACTTTACGCTACAATTTTTTGGGATGAAGATAGGGCTCAAGATTAAGAGCACCTGATGTTCTTGCAAAGGACCTGAGTTCAGTTCTCTGTAGCATGCTGGACACCTTACTACTGCCTATAACTCCAGTTTTGACCTCTGCAGGCACCCACACAAATAGTATACATTTATATAAACACACACATACACAGGAATTAAAAAAATAATAGACTTTCAAATAAGCTACAATCTTGAGATACTACCTAAAACACTTCAAGAAGCTTATTTATTTGTTTGTTTGTTTCTATTTGGTTTTTTGAGACAGGGTTTCTCTGTACCTTTGCAGCCTGTCCTGGAACTCGCTCTGTAGACCAGACTGGTCTTTGTGGTAGATCATAGAGATCCACCTGCCTCTGCCTCCAGAGTGCTGGGATTAAAGGTGTGCGCAACCACTGCCTGGCAGAGTCAAGTTGTCAGGTGATGCCTCAGATCTACCTGTCATATGGTCTCTGAACTACAATACTCACAATTAAGAAATTTTCTTATAGGTGGGTAGTGGTGGCACACACCTTTAATCTCAAGACTCGGGAGGCAGAGGCTGGCAAATCTCTGTGAGTTTAAGGCCAGCCTGGTCTACAGAGCAAGTTCCAGGACAGCTGAGGTTTTTCCAGAGAAACCTTGCGTTGGAAAATCAAAAATAAATAAATAAATAATACCCTTATAAAAAGACATGGGAGTCTGGTGGGTTTGAGACCATCCAGGGTTTCAAAAATAAAGACAGACCTCTGATCTCAGAATCATTTTTCTTCTCGATAATTTACTCGACAGGAGGCACTGATACTGTAGCATGTCCTTGAGTCTGTGATGACAGTCACTGCTCACCTGTTCTCCAGATCTGGCATGCTTAGGTTTCTGGCAGCAAAGCACATTTTGAGAGGGATGACCTTCCTGTCCTTGGTGCTGTTCTGATTCTTTGGAGAACCAGAGTCTTCACTGCCACTGAAGTTTGGTGACTGGGGAGTGGCACCTTCCCAGGGCAGATCTGATACTAAAGATGGCTTCTTGATATACGGTGTTACTTCTCGGATGAATTTGACTATGAAAAAAACAAAAGCAGAGGAGGTTAGCATTTTTGTTTCTGATGTAATGAAAACCGGACTATTCACATACAGGCAACATCTGCAGCGAAGTGAAAAGCAAACTTCAAATGCTATTGATATCCTTGAGCTTAACTCCACATCCCCTGAACTCACTCAGGGGACTCACCCATGAGAAACCTAACAATCTTCATCTCTTTTGTAGATGAGAACCTTTCAAATATCGGAAAAATATATCTCTTTCTTCCCTATGCAAAGGAAAGTATTAAAGCTCAGTTGACGGGGCTGGAGGAATGGCTCAGCAGTTCTTTCAGAGAATCTGGGTTCAGTTCCCAACACCCACATGGCAGCTCACAACTGTCTGTAACTCCAAGATCTGACACCTCGCACAGACATGCATTCAGGGAAAAACACCAATGCACATAAAATAAAAATAAACAAATTTTGAGGAAAAAATAGCTCAACTGATACAAGGGCAAATAAGGGCTGCATCCTGCCCTAAAGGAATGCTTAATCTTAATGGGGTATAGGAAGTTATATAAACATTATTACTGTGTTTAAAAGAAATGTGTTAAAGTACATAAAAGCACAAAGTCAACTAAACTGAAACCCCCTGCCTTTTCAAAATAGTCTACTCCCACTAAATTCTCTTTCGAATACATAACATAGGTTGAGTATCCCATATCTGATATGCTAGCCACTAGAAGCCTTACAAATTTTGAAGTATTCATATATACACAGAGATAAAAATATTCGTATATATACGAGAGGATGAACAAGAAATTCATTTTCATATAAACAGTACACATATGCTTGAAGGCGACTTAGGCAAGAGTATCTGGACGGCTATCTTAGGTCAGGTATGAAATTTTTCACTTGTGTCACAGTTGTGCTCGAAAAGCTTCAGGTTTTAGGTTTTGAATGAGGTATAATTGATACACATTCACATAAAACAAAACTCAGGAGTACTAGGTTTTATAATAATGATAGATCTCCATCAATAAAGGTAACTATTGTGTGATCATGGAGAGGTGCTACATGTGTTAAGCACAATGTAAGAACAGACACACTATCCACCAATTTACACAATGATAGTATATTAGGCTTACTGTTTACTACTTGTATTTTGTTTAATAATGTGGACAGCACTCAGCTGGTCATTATCTTCCATTCAATAATGTTTTTTTTATGAATACCCAACACTTCTACAACACAATGGAGATACCTTTGTTGTAGAATATTATTTTAAAGCGTGTTACTTTTAAAGTTAGTTATCCTGGAACTAGCTCTTGTAGACCAGGCTGGCCTCGGACTCACTGAGATAGGCCTGCCTCTGCCTCCCAAGTGCTGGGATTAAGGACTGTGCCACCACCATGTGGCGAGGTGTGTTATTTTTATTTATGCTGTGGAACATTTGTTTAATGATGCAAAGATGTGTTTGATTAAATAAAATTCATCTGCAGTCAGGAGGTTGCATTAGCAACTAGCTGACAGGAAGTGGTGGGGAGGAGCTAGGTGGAGAAGGGCTTTTAAGGAGGGGTGAGGAGAACTGGGGAGCCTTCTGGAGAGATACAAGAAAGAGAGGAGGTGAGGTACTTGCTATGCAGTCTCTCTGAGGAGCAAAATTCCATCTCAACCTTTGACTCTTGAGTTCTTTAGAGGAACAGAGATTTACATAAGTTCCCTTAGTGGCTCTGAAAGAGTCGGTGCCTGATGGAACAGAATTCTCTCAGACTTGGGCTCTTGCAGCCTAAACGCTGCTGATGGCGGTGGACTTGCAGTTGCTGATTAGGACAGCTGTGGCCTTGCCTGGTTCAGTTCTTACTGCTTCAAAGCTCTCTGGTTTTACCTGCTGCTTCTAAGGTCCTCATCTAAAAACAAGACTGATTCTAAACAAGTGTAAGCTCCGGGCACACGGTGAATATTCGATAAACAGCAGGTGCCTTTCTTTGCCTTCCTGACTTAGAAACCCAGAGAAATTTTTAAAAATTAACCCTAATCAGTAGAAGAGATAAAGTCATTGTCATATGTTATTAATCTAAGCATTTGGGATACAGAGACAGGTGTGTCTCTGAGTTCAGGGCCAGTTGGGTCTATCTAGAGAGTTCAAGGACAGCCAAAGCTACAAAGTGAGACCCCGTCTTAAACAAATGAAACAAGCAAAAAACACCACACCAGTATCTGCTGAAACCAAGCATACTAAGAAATATAATTCTAATGCTGCCATTTAGATATAGTAAGACACTTGTATATGTGTATGTATTTTTCCTGCATGTTTTTAGAAATGCATTTCTGGGTGGAGAGAGTAAATGCTTGCTGCCCTGGGTCACCAAGGAGATTTCTCATCCTGAAAGAATGAGCAGGAGAGTAGCCAGTATATCCCTTGTGCAGCTGACTCAGGCATTTCAATACACACTTGAGCTCTGTGCTTTTAGGAGAGGATTAGATCACGAGAACTTGGCAGAAATTCCTAAGGGTTTCAATCAATGCCAATGGCAGAGCCATGCTTTTGAACACTTACAGCACCATGCCAGTTACTGGGCTACCAACTGGGGGAAACAAAGCCATTCTAAATGAGTACCCTTGAAAAGTACAATGATTAGAAGTGTCCTTAATGATCTACTCAGGATTACCATCTCTAATATGATTACTACAAACATGCTAAAACAAAAGCAAAGCAGACACACACCCAACCTAAGGGCCACTGTATTGAAAGAGCAGCCCGCATGGTAGACTGCTTTTCTAGCATGCACACAGCAATGGTTTGACATTCTGCACCTTACAAAACAAGCATGGTAATTTATGCCTGTAAACCCAGCACTCAAGTAGTGCAAAGAGGAAGATTAAAAACTCATGGGCGATGCCGGGCGGTGGTAGCGCACGCCTTTAATCCCAGCACTTGGGAGGCAGAGGCAGGTGGATCTCTGTGAGTTCGAGGCCAGTCTGGTCTACAAGAGCTAGTTCCAGGACAGGCTCCAAAGCCACAGAGAAACCCTGACTCAAAAAAACCAATAAATAAAATAAAATAAAATAAAAATTTAATCCCAGCACTCAGGAGGCAGAGGCAGGCAGATCTCTGAGATTGAAGTCAGCCTGATCTACAGAGCGAGTCTCACGACAGCCAGACCTACACAGAAAATTCCTTTATGGGTACTGCTCTAAGTGCTCAGACGTTAGAGCTAATGTTCTATCTTACCTGCGCTGATTACTTATTAATCAAGGGGAAGTCTCTAGGTTGTCCTAGAGTTCTTGTCTAGGCCTTGAGGCTTTAGGTTTTATCCAAAAAAACACGAGAAGAAAACCAAATTGAAAGCGCTCCCATCCATCCTGAAAAGTATCAGTCTAACACCGTCTCCTTTTTCTGGTCTTTTGAGGTAGGGTTTCTCTGTGTAGTCCTGGCTGTTCTGGGACTGGTTCTGTAGAGCAGGTTGGCCACTAATTCATATAGATTCGCCTGCTTTTGTCTCCCTAGTGCTGGAATTAAAGGCATGTGTCAATACCACTTGCCCCTTCTCCTTTTCAAATGACAAAAAAACCATGGCTGTTATGAGATGGTTCAGCTGGTAAAGGCGCTTGCCACCAAGCCTGAGGACCTCATTCTCAGGGACTCCACAGAATGGAAGGAGAGAAAGGACTCCAGCAAGTTGTCTTCTGATCTCTGCACACACACAAAGTAAATAATTGTAATTAATAAACATTATCTGTCCTGTACATGTGTCTATAAATCTATTGCAAAGGATTTTTATCAAAATATTAGTGATTGTATATATGTTGATTTTAAATATATAATTCTCTACATTATAAATGTAATGCCTGTGTTATGTATTTTTAAAAATAAGGTCACTAACTTGACTAAGTAGTAAGTTAAGACTGTCTCTAAAACAGAAGGAGAGGGAAAAGAAGGAGGAGGAAGGAAAAGAGAAAAGAATGTTTATATAGCTTTTTAAGTTATTTATTTTTTAAAATGATTTATTTTTGTGTACATTGGTGTTCTGCTTGCACTTATGTCTGTGTGAGAGTGTCAGATTCCCTGGAACTGGAATTACAGACGGTTGTGAGCTATCATGTGGGCGCTAGGAATTGAACCCAGGTCCTCTAGAAGAGCAGCCAATGCTCTTAACCACTGGGTCATCTCTCCAGTCCCTGTAAAATGTTTATTTTTATTTATTGATGTGTGCCTACTTGTCTGTATGTGTACCCCTTGCATTCAATACCCACAGAGGCCAAAAGAGGGCCTCAGATCCCCTAGAACTGGAGTTATATGTGGCTGTGAGCCAACAAAGTGGATGTTGAGAACCAAAATCAGGTTCTCTGCAAAAGCAGCCAGTAGTGCTCTTAACCACTAAGTCATGGCTCCAGTCTCCTTTCTTCCACCAAAGATAATCAAATAAAAATGCTGAAAGGAAAAAAAAACCCAATTCTACTTTATCTTCTAAACTTTCTAGTATTATATTTTCCAAACTTTCTGGCATTATATTTTCCACATCAATTCTTAAGTATTATTCAAGAATCACCATATCATATTCCATTGAATGTTCATCATAATTTACTAGGCTATTCCCTAATTATTGGGTATTTAGCCTTAATGTGTAAAAGGAGCGGCGGGCTGCGTCCCGCCACCTGGCTCCCAGCTAACTTTATCCGAAATAATGACACAGAAACTGTATTCTTTTAAACACTGCCTGGCCCATTAGTCTGTAGCCTCTTAATGGCTAACTCTCACATCTTGACTAACCCATTTCTAATAATCTGTATGCCACCACGAGGTCGTGGCTTACCACATGAGTCGAGGCAGCATCCGTCTTGGGAAGAAGAATCATGGCGTCTGCCTCACTTCCCTTCTTCCCAGCATTCTGTTCTGTCTACTCTGCCTATCTAAGCTGTTGTCCTATCAAGGGCCAAGACAATCTCTTTAATAACCAATGAAAGTAACACAATAGACAGATGATCCTTCTCCATCATTAATGAGCTGCAATGAACATTTTTCGGGAGAAATTAA